GGAGGCATGTGCCTCCTTATATTTTGTCATGGTATTTTACAACTGTTATTCAGGGCAAAATTTATCAGTTAAAATTATGTAAAATTTTATATATTACAGTTATACACATCGACAGCTTGCCATGCGATATTTTAAAAGAAAAATTAAGAATTCCATTCGCAAAGTGATGTTAGTCCGACCACAATTGATGCTGCATTTATCGATCATGAATTGTACAGAAAGCGAAATAATGCAAAAAGTGAAGGGGATAATTATATGCTTATCCAAGTAAATCGAACCCACCCGAAATAGTGAGGGAGATGATTCCGCCATTCCCCCAGGATTAACACCTTTCGTAGGCTTTTTCATTTGACTTCGATCGGCAGTGTGAGAAACCATGCTTGAAATCTTTCTCTGACAGTTCTGTAATAAACTCCGTATACTATGATACAAACTTTCATGTTTTGTTGTGAAATCTCATGAATAGTAACAGAAAACTTTGTAAATTTTGCAATCGGTGTTTTCTACTGAATTATTTACTCCCTTGTTTCTATATTCTTCAGGAGGAAGATGAATAAAACTCGGGACAACGTTCTGCCATTTGACTTTAAATATTCACATATTAATGACAGAGTCGTGAATGTCCACGAAAGACATCTTCACAAGTGCTACGTATATACAGGGTTGTCTCAAAAAAACGCAATGGAAATTCAGCAGGCTATCGTGCATCATAAACGTGCATGGCTAAACAATTCAATTTTTACATAGGACGAAAGAACAGTTATTTACAGGGACGCCGGAACTGGGGGGTAGCCGCCCCCGTTGCCCTTTACCAGGTGGGGCAAGGGGGGCAAAGGTGCCCTTTCAATTTAAAGGATTGCCTTGGCGAAATAGCGAATTGTCAGGAATGTTAGTGGAATTCTTTTACGAATTTGCTTCAGAAAACGCAAGAAATGCAGTCATCGAGCTTCAAGAATAGCACAATCGCCTGGCGGAGAACCCCCTCACACCCCTATCATCCAATAAATAGAAAACATGAAAAGGCGAAGTTCAACTCCCGATGTTTTTCAAACATCTCTTAGTATTATATATCAATTCAAAAGTGCCCTTTCACGAAAATTTGCCCCCCTTGCCTTCACATCGTTCCGGCGTCCCTGGTTATTTAGCTTTTTAATGATACTTTTTTTAAATCATAACGATGAGAAATGGCCACATACTCGCCAAATAAAAATTGCCTGTCGAAATCACATTCTTCCACCGTTGGGAATTGCATGGACGAAACATAGACAATTCCCAAGAGAGAATTAAAATTGAATGTTAAATTATGTAAAATGAGCTCAAGTCGTCAATCTTCGTCTTAGTGAGACAAGAATTAGAACGTCCATTATAAACATGGTTCAATTAACCGCTGAACAGAGAACATTCGTAATCAAAACGTTTTACGAAACAAATAGCTTGCAGCAGACTCGCGTTGCTTGTGGATTAACTTTGCATATTTAATGTATATTTTATGCAATTCCCAACGGTGGAAGAATGTGATTTTGACCGGCCATTTTTATTTGACGAGTATGTGGCCATTTCTAATCTCATCGTTACGATTTAAAAAAGGTATCATAGAAAAGTTAAAAAACAGGTCTTTCGTCTTATGTAAAAATCGAATTGTTTAGCCAAGTAGTGATGCACGACAGCCTGTTGAATTTCCATAGCGTTTTTTATAGACACCCTGTATATAGTCCAAAATAGTTTGGCAAATTTCATGAAAAATGGTTGTTATAAAAAATGGAACATTGATTGTATTTTAATTTAATGTGGCTAAAACCGATTTAACTCGCGTGAAAACCTCCTGCTTATCTACTTTTCTTTAGTGTTTATTAATTATTACTTGGACAAATATAACTTGATTGCAATATTGGACAAATGCTCCTAATTTTCACGGCATTTTGCAACAGATGTTCAATGGTGAAGATATCTCCATAAAATAAAGCGTTCCTAATTTAATCTCTATGGATATATGGATTGTATACTTTGTTATCTTATAATCAAACTCACTTGTAGCATAGAAGAGCCACTATGTGGAAATGCTATTAAATCATTATTATTATTAATTAACAAATATAAAACATTTTCCGTGTTGATATACAGTTATATCAACACGAGTGGAATTGGGAAAACGAGAAATTGTATGGAAACACGACGCCCGAAGGGCGAAGTGTTTTCATACAATTTCGAGTTTTCCCAACTTCCAATAGTGTTGATATAACTATATATCAATACGGAAAAAATGTTTTATATTTTTTTTATAATATAACAATGTCAAAAGCCCGAAGGATAAGAAAAATTTCCGTGTTTGCAAGCGGCGGAAAATTTCCCGTGTTGACATTGAGTTATATCAACACGGCTCTTAGCCAATCAGCGTTCAGAATTTACAAATGCTATATTATAAAACTATATATCAATACGGAAAAAATGTTTTTGCTGCCGAAGGCAGCACCCTATTCTTGACACGCGGTGTTTTCTCCAGTGTCCACTCGACCCACTCTTTCGCGCGATCTATGTATTGTCGAGATCTCGATTTGTGTCTGTCTGT